TGCTTTTTTTTCTTGCCTATATAAGTGAAAACAATACTGTTATAGTCAAAGCTAAACACTGATGTAATCACAATAGCCCAAAGACAATAGCCCTTTCACAGAGTTGTTTAGAGCCGAAGCATGCTCTTGTTAAAAGCCACATGGGTTAGGCTCTTAAAAAGCAAAAGAAACTTCATTATGAGAAACGCTACCTTCCTGGAATATGTTAAAGGGATTACAGAAATTAAGTGTAGCATAATAGAATCTCTTGTGACAAATTATTTTAGGTCCTAAAGCTTAGCATGTGCTGTTTTATCTTTTTTTGACAGCTGTTCCTTGGAGCAGTATTTATGATCACAGCGCAGCATGCTTTGATGAGTGCATGCCATCTGCTGGAACCAAAAAGGCTTTTTACAAAGGAAATCCTAAAATGCTCTACTAGTTTTCACCCAATGCAGGGCATTTTTTTCTGTCTGATTGTACTTTTTAAATGGTCACATTTTCTATAAACTCCACTCTGACACAACAGAATGGCAGCATATGCATTGCTGATTGTGCTGGAAAAGGAGAGAAAAGATGACTATCAGGATAGACAAAAATTTGTTTTGGGTAGCTGGATGAGTTAGGCTGGGCATTCAGATAAATAGGTTGTCCAGGTGATCTATTTTTATCCATTCCTTCTGTTAGACATGTCAGAAATACATCCTCTAAGAACTGCAGGCTAACCGAGTGAAGGCATCAATATTTTAGACAGGAGTGTGTGAATATTGATGTGGAATGAAAATCTTCCCTTGCATATGGGTGTAAAGTTTATGATTTTCTATATATATGTATATGGATGGATGATGGTTGTTATTGTTTCTCCTTTTTGGTTAACCAATATTTGGTGTTTTGTGCATTTTTTCTATTATGAGAAGAAATGGATGATAGTCAGGTGTTTCTTTGATGCAATCCTCTTTACTTACCCCTGGTCTACACTGGGGGGGGGGGAGGGGATCAATCTAAGATACGCAACTTCAGCTATGAGAATAGCGTAGCTGAAGTTGCCATATCTTAGATCGACTTAGAATCACTTACTTCGCATCCTCGTGGCGCGGGATCGACGGCCACCGCTCCTCCGCTGACTCTGCTTCCACCTCTCGCTGTGGTGGAGTTCCAGAGTCGACGGCAGAGCGATTGGGGATCGATTTATCGCGTCTACACTAGATGCGATAAGTCGATCCCTGGTAGATCGATCACTACCCACCGATCCGGCAGGTAGTGTAGACGTACCCTTACAAAGGACATAAACACAGTCCTGTTTCCCTGAACACAGTAGGAATCGAATAACAGTTTCTTTGCTCACAATTCCAAGCTTCTTTCCAGGCAACACCCAAAAAGCACTCTCTTAGCTTCTTCTCAGGGTCCTGCTACAAATGCTTCTCTGTCGGTCGTGCTTCCTTGCTGCCTTCTTTTTGTGCTTCTGTGGAGTTTCTCCTGCTTTTGTCTCCTGTTCTCTGGCTGCTTCTTGCACGCACACACACACAGAGTATGTTTTCACTGCACAGTTAACCTGGGTTTTTACCTTGGTTTTTAGTTCAAACATGCCTCCCATTCATACTGAAAAATCGCTTTCAGCTGATCTGGCTTACTCGGCTGAGGGGTGGGTTTGAGCCCATGCTCTAAACTGACAAGCTTACAGCAGCACCGCTGTACCAATGCAGCTGCGCTGCTGTAAGAGTGCTCGTGTAGCCGCTCTATGCCGACTGGAGAGAGTTCTCCCGTCGACATAATAAAACCAGCTCAATGAGTGGCGGTAGCTCTGTAGGTGGGAAAGCGTCTCCCGTCAGCATAGTGCTGTGCACACGAGCGCTTATGCCAGCAAAACTTGTGTCACTCGGGGTGTGGGTTTTTTTTCACATCCCTGAGCGACAAAAGTTTTGCCGACATAAGTGCCAGTGTAGATGTGACCTAAGGCTGGAACCTGCCCACTTTGCAGTGAGTTTCCAGGCAAAATTGCTTGAGTGCTGATAGTCCTTCAATGTCCTTCTCACAATTCCCTTTGAAGGATAGACAACTTCTCCCACAGCTGACTAGGAAAGAATCCTAGAAGCTTGTCTGTACAAAGAACTATGGACTATGCCCCCAGCCATACGTGGGCAAGTGCAGAAATGGTGAGCACACAGTAACACAGGCAAGGCTTTGCAGTGGGAATCCCAGACCTGGTTACCATATGCTAACCCGGGGGTTCACACCCATGCGCCAATCACCTGAGCTAACTGCGTAGTGAAGACATATCTCCAGGCACACAGCTGAAATCAAATCAGTGGTCCTGCCCCTGTGTTTAGCAGACCCCTGGAAACTCTTTGGACCGTATGGCTTAGCCATTGCACAAAGTGGCATGTGGTCTAATCTTTGGGGTGGTTTTCCATTGTTGCAGCTATCACTCAATAAAGGGGCATTTAATTGTTTCCTCATTTAGCATGAATGGAAGGCAGCTATCACTCCCAAGAGCTTCAATGAGGCGGCGTGATTACCCAACCCCAGAATAACATTATACATTATTATGTATTATTTATGCAGTGCCTTACTTCTGCATGGAACACACGGCTAACTAAAAGAAAAGGGATCATGTTAAGAGGTAATGTGAAAGGCAGGATAAGGTGTTAGACTCCCTTAGACCTGCTAACACTCACTCTACAAGAGAGAGTCTCTGTGTAACTTATATGCTGAGGAGGCAGGAAAAGGTTGTATATTACAATACAGGGCAGGCTACTATTAAATACCAAAGTTTTCCTGAAGTGTGAGAGAATTCCCAGATTTGGTGGGAGACAGATGATTTCTGGCATCAGCCTTCCCTAAATATCCATCCATAATCAGACATTTTTCTGCAGCCCACAGAGCATTGTCCACATTCCCACTGTAATAGAGTATGGGTGAGCACACTTCTTTGTGAATCTCTGACAGTATCATAAAACTACTGCAAACTTGGCAATCTTAGTCCAAGAAAAGCCTGGCGGTGCTTTTGCAGCTCAGGATGGAGGTGCACTGGCATAACTGCATGACAAACTGTGCTTGGTGGCTGCTCTTGTGTCCCATATTACAGATAGCTCCTTAAACCATGGTACTGAGATGCAATAGTGAGATGCTGTCATAACTATAAAGGGAAGGGTAACAGCTCTCCTGGGTACAGTGCTATAAAATCCCTCCTGGCCAGAGACTCCAAAATCCTTTTACCTGTAAAGGGTTAAGAAGCTCGGGTAACCTGGCTGACACCTGACCCAAAGGACCAATAAGGGGACAAGATACTTTCAAATCTTGGGGGAGAGGGGGAAGGTTTTTGTTTGTGCTCTTTGTTTGGGAAGTTGTTCGCTCTTGGGACTGAGAGGGACCAGACATCAATCCAGGTTCTCCACATCTTTCTAAACAAATCTCTCCTATTTCAAACTTGTAAGTAAATAGCCAGGCAAGGCATGTTAGTTTTACTTTGTTTTCTCAACTTGTAAATGTACCTTTTACTAGAGTGTTTATCTTTGTTTGCTCTACTTTGAACCTGAGGCTAGAGGGAGGTCCTCTGAGCTCTTTAAGTTTGATTACCCTGTAAAGTTATTTTCCATACTGATTTTACAGAGATGATTTTTACCTTTTTCTTTAATTAAAAACCTTCTTTTTAAGAACCTGATTGATTTTTCCTTGTTTTTAGATCCAAGGGGTTTGGATCTGTATTCACCAGGAGTTGGTGGGAGAAAGGAGGGGGATGGTTAATTTCTCCTTGTCTTGAGATCCAAGGGGTTTGGATCTGTATTCACCAGGGAATTGGTGAAACGTTTCTCAAGGCTTCCCAGGGAAGGGAATTAGCTTTGGGAATGGTGGCAGCGGACCAGATCTAAGCTGGTAGTTAAGCTTAGAAGTCTTCATGCAGGCCCCTACATTTGTACCCTAAAGTTCAAAGTGGGGAACCAACCTTGACAGATGCATAACTATGAGCTGCAATGATTGATTACATACACTGTATAGATATTCACACAATGCTGACTAAATTCCCAGTCCTGTCTCAGCATGGAATAAGATCTGTGGAAAACCTGGGATGGATTCTCTGGGCCCAAGGGGTGTGTGGGTGTGTGTGTGATGAAGTCTTGGTGAGGAATTTGGACGGGGTAATATACCCAAAGACATTACCTTGCCCTATAGTGTGTGTGTGTATACATACTCACACACACAGGCCAGTATTTGATCAATGGATACCTTCAGATTAGTTTTGATAAATGTTATAAAAAGTCTATGCATGAAGCACTGAAAACCTGTCTTATGTAATGACTATTCTAATTGCCACCACTTCATAATGAGGCTGCAATGTGACCCATGCACTGAACCAGCCATGGAGTAAATACATAAAGCTCAGAGCTCACTACAGCAGATGTCACAAACAGATGCATTTTCTTCCCTTCTGATCCCAAGTACTGTGAACGCTGCTGCTGCTGCAGCATGTTAGCTTTTCTGCTCTGACAGCATTTCAGCCCTGATACAGCAAAGCACTTACGCGTGTCTGTACTTAACTTTAAGGACATGCTTAAGTGGTTGGCTGAATTGGGGCCTTAACCAATGGAAACACATCAGGGTAAAAATCAGAATGTTTTGCAAAAGAAAGGACCTAGCATCCTTGTGGTAAAAAGGGAACAATTTAATAGCTGTTGAATTATTCACAAAATTACCAAGGAAAGCAGGCCTTCAGCCAAGGGCTGGACACATCTTCACCACTCTATTGAATGATAAGAAAAAACTTTGTGAGTTGTGAGTCCTTCATGCTTGAAAGCCATAATACTGTGAACAATTGATATATTGATTAGCTAGGTAACCATGAAACTTAGCAGGATAGGGGCTGGGTTTTTGTTGTTTTTATATATAAGGCCATTATTTTGGTTATTTGGAAATGTTATTGTCTGAAAGAGGATATTTTTGAACAGTACTTAAAAATAGCAATATCAGAGTGCTGGTGACCAGCAAAGAAACTAAAATTCTATTTACCGGTTCTGTTGCAGATTTCTAATAATCTGATGAAAGCTCTAGTTCCAGTGCGCCACACTCCAGACATTATTCAATCAGAAACAGAAGACCTCTTGATCATTTACATTTATGGTCATTCCCTGTCAACAGTTTTAGGGAAAAGATTATTCTGTCAAAAAACATGGGGCATGGATACTATGATAATGGACACATTAGAAATGTGATACATTAGATAATGTTGTGGTAATACCCACTTCTTGGAGTAAGATTAATGCCTAAGTTAGGGTAAAATTTGTGGTGTCTCCCCTTTTTTCTAGTTAATAGTTGGATGGCTTTCCATAGAATGACTTTCCAAGTTTATCTTTAAAGCAAAATAGGATGACTCTAGTTTACTTAAATCTGTCTCACTGTAGAGAAAAACAACCCAGTAAATGATAGTTTATTGCTGATTTTGCAGCAGATATTATTTTATGTATTTAAAAGTCTGTTTCAGTGTCAGCTTTAACTCCTCCCTGCCCCCATCCTACTTTGTCTTGTACAAATCTTAATGAGACTACAGAAAAAAACAGTCTGGTCTTTGAATGTTCTAAAGTGACTGTCCCAAAAATCCAGCAGGTAATGATGTAATCAGCCAGTTTAATCACTGTACTTGTCTGCCTTATTAACTAGGAAGTTATACCAATCAAAGGACATCAGCCTATATCGGAGACAAGCTTTACATGCCCTGGGGCTTGAAGAATTTGCAGCCAATTTATTCACTTATTGTGAACTTATTGTGAACTATCTTCAGTTGTCATAAATATGCTGATGTGTAGTTACTATATATCTCCTTCTAAGGGCAATGCATAATTATCAACCTATAAGTCTCATATACTCACTTCATTAGCTTCTAATACAAAGGCCCTCTCAGTTATAAGGCTACAGACGTATAGCTCTTAATTCTATAAGGACTGTGGTTACATTCACAAGTTCTTGCTGTCTTCTTGGAATGTTTTAATCCTGCCACTTCTGCTCTATTATGTGTCTAAGATGTCAGTACTGTCCAAGTTCCGTCACATTCTTCTGCTAGCATGTAGCAGATCATTACCCAAGCTATTCTCTCCTGAGATAGTATGCATTTAAATCTGTGCTTCATGCACATAACCTGTCTTGCTAAGCATTACAAAATAGGCAAGTGTGTGTGCATTTACAAGAAAACTGTGACCATCACCAAATGTGACAAGCAAGCTCCTTCAGCTGGAGGAATGGAATGGATACTGCAAAATCTAAGAGGGTTCTCCCCCCCCCCCCAAGAATTACTTGAAGTATCTGATTTGAAAAGGAATGTTCAGCAGTTTCATTGAAAATCTTTTTTTTTCTTCCCCCATCTGTTTCAGTTCCTTCTCATCTGATGCAGTTGTTATCAGTTTCCCATTACTTGGTGGCCTGAAATACTGGGAGCTGAAAAGTTATCTAACTGCATTGTGCTGCACTCTCTAGCTGTACTCCTGCCATTTAAAAAAAATTAAAAAGGTAAATTTCTGGATTAGTATGAGATCACAATTCAGGGAAAATGTCTAAACCAAGCCTAAATCAATCATTCTTTTCTTTAATTTGATTAGATTAAATTAAAATAATTAAATTACATTTCTTACCAAATTCACTTGACCTTTTAAGGGGATTTAGGAAAAGAATCGCTTAGTTCAATTGATGTCAACCAAAGTTTCTCACCAGCCATGTAAGTGTGAAATATATTGGTTACAAGACTGTCTGCTTTCCTGTTTAAATTGCAGTTATGCTGTTCTGAAATCAGGACTTGTATGGTAATTTTCTAACAAAGAAAAAATCTCTTCTATTGTTTGCCATATATTACAGATGAACCTAAGTGTGCGGGGCTGATGCAAAATGGAATTGTACCAATTTATCCCAGCAGAGACTTTGGCAAAATTCTGATCCAAGTTCCCCTCAAAGCCTACGGGGAATTGGGATTTTGGATCAGAGATGGGAGCCAGCCAGGGCTTCCTCAATTTTTGAGGTGTTCAGCTCTGGGCTTTTGGTTTGGGCTCATCTCTATCATGATATAATTAAACTGTAATCACTCCATCCACTTTGTTTTAATAATGGGATCATGCTGACTCCGACCCCTCTTTCCCTACCCCCTGTACTTGGAAACTTGTCGTGAAAATGAATTTTAGAGTGAGTTGTAAAGGCCTCTCCAAGTCAGACAATGTAGTAGCCAACTTTCAGAGGGAAGAAAGCCAATCCAAAATAGTCACGATGCTCTGAAGTCATGCTAAAATTTGGCTTTAGTGAGAACCCTTTCTATTTCCTGCTCGGTTTTTAAGTTTGTTTTGGAAGCTGTATGTTTAAAAGAGTAGTTCTGGAAATACTTAAAATCCCCACTTCTAGTGTGGCTTCATTCTGATCTTTAACAGCCCTAACTTCATTGACTTCAGTGGGGTTTCGCCTAATTTACACTGGTGTGAGAGAAGAATCAGGCCTGATGTCTTTAAATAGTACATAGCAGAGGCTTGTATAGCACCATGTCTGCATGCTCTGATCTGTTCATCTCACTGTGATACTTCTTGGTATAGCCCAGGTGTAACTTAATCTATGGGCCTTATTGGTCCGAGAACCACATGGAGAGGAAGGATTTTAGCCAGGGAAATGACAATTAATAACATCTGAATATTTGCCTTTGGCACAGGGTAGTTCACAGTTTTCAATAACTTAATCACACTCATGTCACAGCCTAATGAAGTGGGTTTTTTTATGTGGTTCCTGTGTTCCATGCATCTTAATTCTGCCCTGTGTGCAACTGCATTGGTATTGCAACTAATGACTGACAGGTGTTTGCAAGGGATTACTTCCTACTGGGACGCATAGGTGTTAGACAAGCAAGTACAGTCATTCTACACTTGTGCTTAAAGACAAACAAACATGAAGTGTGAATAGCAAGGGTGGCCAGCTATGTTTCAGGGAAACAAATGGACTGTATAAAAAAACCTCCACAAGACAAAGCTTATTTATCAGAGATACCACCCCACAATGTTTCATTCAGATATAAAATCACATCTGAGTTACAGTGTATGATTCGCTGCAAAAATTATAGCTTGAAAATAGACTTCTTATCTGATAAATGCTTCTGAGCTGCTCTTTATTAGATACCTAGCGTGTAATATCAGGCACCAAATAAGGGACATCTTCCTTAAAACTTGGCGAGTCGTCGGCCAAATTGTTAACGTGGTTTTGAGTGAACTTGGAAAAGTTCAGAGGGTTGGATAACAGCCCCCAGGTAGCCACCTTGCTGGCCAAGACCGCTAGAGTACATCACTCTTCATCCCCACCACTGACACAACCCTGACATTTCCCCAGCCCACCTCTGAACTGCCTCCTAGCTGTGGCCCTAGGGAAGCAGGGTCCATTCCAAAGCAAGATGTGGACAGAAAGGGACAAGCTGAGGAAATATATTATGCTAGGTGAATTCACAGATACTGCCTTATGGCAGCTTAAGTTCCTTTTGCTCTCCTGTAGACGAGGGTCTGGTCCCACCATGTCAATTCAGATACAATGAAATACTTGCAAATAAGCGCTAGAAACTAAAAACTATTCCCAGAAACCCTATAATAAATCATTCTGAATAACTAATACATTTGAGGAAAAACATAATCTGTCCATAGACAATTCCATCCATCTCTCTCTCTCACAATTTACATCTCACTCATCACCATAGTACTTGAGAGCAGAAAAAAAGATGAAGTTCATCCAGATAACGTATTCATTCTTATTTGTTTTCCCAGCTGTACTGAGTAGTTACAATGTTTTGCCACCCAATTATTCTATAGTTATTCATATGTTTTTGATGTGAACCTACCTTGGAAAATAAGACTTTCACTCTCCCCAAAATCTTTCCCATTTCTAGAACTGAACTTTGTTTCTAAAGAATTCCCAATATTTTTCTTTTTAATTTTTGCCTGGCTTAGCACATCCAGCTTCCAGCAAAGAACAGAACTGACAGTGCAAGGAATCTCATGGGAAAGCCTGTTTTTGTGAGAGATCTGGTCCAAAACTGGTTTTGCAGACCCAGCAAACTCAGATAAGTGTCAGATAAACATCCTCACTTCTGAGCATTTACCCAAGCCCTGAACCATTTAAGCTCACTTGTCCCAAGTTATTTGTGTCTTCTATAATAACGCAGACTGAATATTTAGCAAGATACTTCCCATCTCCAGCCCACTTAGGCCCTGTATACGTTGTCTTCGTCTCCCTCATTCATCAATTGGGGTTGAAAACAGATCCTGTACTAGCAGCCAATCTGTTTTCAGCACATTAAAGGAAGTGTGCTACACATCTTGTGAAATGATGGAATGAATGCCTACATTAGCTAATCTATTTTCAACCTCATTTGAGGGATGTTTGTGTAGGACTGGGAGTTTACAGTCTACATTGTCCACAACAGGTCAATTTCCTAGCATAGATGTACCCCCACTGAGCACATTAAACCCAGACTTGCTTTCATATCCTACTAGTGTTTATCTGAACAGTGTCTTAAAGAAGACAAAAACCAGTCAGCTATGATCAGCCAATCCCCTCCTGAATTTCTGAGGCTCCTGTGGAAGGCTACTCAATGAGATGATCAGATAGCAGATTGAGTTGGGATTTGAGCCTTGAGGAGGACTGGTGAAATCCTACAAAATACAGCTGTGTGTCCTGATAGGCTGGAACAGAATCAGACACCACTGAAATCCCCTCTCTCCCACTGGATAAGTGCAGAGAAGTCCTAAAGAATGAATGCCTTGTGCCTTCCCTTATTCAAGCTGGTAGATCATTCATGTTGCTAACTTGTCCTAGAAGCTGGCACAGCATACTCACGCCATTTTCTGCTAGCTAATGTGCCGTGATTACTCTCAGCACTTAAAAACTCTAGTGTATTCATTCTTGTTACATGTGATAGGATAAAAATTGCTGTGGGATAAATCTTCATCTTAAAGGCAAGAGCCAAATACTTATTACCTGCAGTTTAGAAGAAATTACTTTCTTATGGCAGGTTATTTCATGCCCACAGTAGGGGTCCTTGCACCTTCCTCTGAAGCATCTAGTACTGGTTGATGACAGACACTGCTTTGATTTTATGGAGCATAACAGTTGCCTTAT